GACTTCTAATAAAAACGACGTCTTACTGGCAGAGAGAAAATCGCCATACCCCATTTGTGCTGTCTAACAGATATATCTTGACGTGGGTGAGATATTATTTGTTATACACCAGTCATCGTATCAGATTACGCAAACTGTTCCCAAATCGCCCTGTCGTTACTAAGAAAAGATCACATTAAGGAATAAAACTAAAGACCTGCGAATCCTGAAAGTTTAAGGGAGGTAACTCTGTGTATCGAGTAACAACGTTTTATATGCACTTGGTCACACTCATCTATAGTCTGTTTGCAGTGAAAACGTACCGATGAATTTCACTTTAAACAAAAACGTAAATCGAATAAAGTGAAATTAAGATGACGAATCCTCATAACATTACCTTGCCAATTGAACATTTAAATCTCAGAATTTTATTCAACTTAGGATAAAAGTTGTTTAACACACGATCATAGTTTCAAATCGCTATTATTGGTTTGTATTACAAGGGGGTATGCACATTAAATGAATCACCGAGAACAAGTAGGTTTGGTCTAAGTTAACGCTCATCACGTACCGCACGTGCATTTGTTTCACTGTTCCAACTACTGCACTTACCCCCTTGTAATACAACCCAATAATAGCGATTTGAATCTATGATCGTTTGTTAAACAACTTTTATCTTAAGTTGAATAAAATTCAGAGATTTAAATGTTCAATTGGCAAGGTAAAATTATGAGGATTCGTAATCTTAATTTCACTGTTTTCAATTTACTTTTTTGTTTACAGTGAAATTCAGCGGTACGTTTTCACTGCAAACAGACTATAGCAGAAAGGTTCTCTTTGTGACTACGGATGAAAGATAGTGGATGACAATGTTTTTTCGTTGTTTGGCGATTAACGCCACACTCCGCAGTATTCCAGTTATATGGCAGCGGTCAGTAAATAATCGAGTTTAGACCAGACAATCCAGTGATCAACAGCATGTGCATCGATCTCCGAAACTGGGATGACATGTGTCGTCAACCAAGTCAGCGAGCCTGACCGCCCAATCCCATTAGTCACCTATTACGACACGCATGGTTTACTGAAGACCAATTCGAACCCGGATCTTCACGGGTCTTGATGACAAAAAGTGAGTTTCAGTTTTACGCCGCTTCTAGCAATATTCCAGCAAGATCACCAGAAATGGGCTTCACACATTTTACCCATGTGGGGAATCGAACCGGGTCTTCGGCGTCGTGACAAGCAAATGCTTGTACCACTAGGCTGCCCCACCGCCTCCTTGATGACAATGACGAAGACATGAAATCGGATATATTTGGGATTACACCTTTAAAAGGCATCGTGTATTCCGAGGACAAGATAACCCTAAATTCGTTAAGCATGAGGGGCGGTGGGGTAGCCTAGCGGTTAAAGCGTTCGCTCGTCACGCCGAAGACCCGGGTTCGATTCCCCACATGGGCAAAATGTGTGAAGCCCATTTCTGGTGTCCCCCGCCGTGATATTGCTGGAATATTGCTAAAAGCGGCGTAAAATCAAACTCACTCACTCACTCGTTAAGCATGATAGTATTCAATGACCCTATCCATGCACCAAAGGATGCAGATATGCAATATATAGCCCAGATGTAGGCAAGCATGTGCACTGTTGGGTGCACAGGGAACATAGTCATTTCACACTTGGTAAATGTGCCTCATCCCCAGGAATTAAATACATCGCATCACTGTCATACCTGTCTGTCAGGCGTGCATCCCGCGTGCAGACAATGAGCAATTGTGATAATTACACGCATGTCTGGGACTGAAACAGTAACACGTAATGTATGCCATGTGTGGGTTACGTAACTCGCAGAACATCTGGCCACAGCTACTTCCGGCTAAACCTGATGACCGTTGTAAGAAAATGTTTGTTTGATGCGCTACGTCAGAACGTCAACTCCATAACCCATTAACCAGCGGGCACAAATCCACTGACCAACAAGTACCACCCTGCTAACTAATAGACACAAACCACTCAGAGGTACAGATAAGCTGCGTGTCTGGGTAAATTACGCAAATATTTATGTGAAAACTCAATTCCTATTAAGTCTATTGCGTAGAAGTACGCTTGAATTTTGGTAAAAACTCAATAAATGTGATCTTACATGCGTACACACGAAAATGTGAAATCTTAGCTTGCGTACCGGTGATAGATATAAATGAGGTATACTGAGAGGTTCTATTTCAGGACATGAACTTGACAACTTGCAGTCTTTCTTATCGTTTCTCATATTACAAATCAAATATAAACAACAAAACCTAACATTTAAACTTTATTATATTTTAAAATTAATGGAAAATGGCAAAATACCAAATTGAGTTTGAGTGAGGTGAGTACAATTTATTTGGTTACTCAAAGGAAAATTAGGATACCCTATTGGGATGAACACAAGCGAGTACATAACTCAATGACCCCAAACGTTATCTGTAGCTATGTAACCACTCTTACAAGAAGGCGCAATCCATTAACCAATAGGCACAAATCCAACTAACCAATAGGCACAGTCCCTTTACCATGCAGACAAAACCCCGATAATCAGAAGGCACAGTCCCTTTACCCTGTAGACAAAACCCCGATAACCAGTAGGCACACTCCCTTTACCCTGTAGACAAAACCCCGATAACCAGTGGGCACAGTACCTTTACCCTGTAGACAAAACCCCGATAACCAGAAAGCACAGTCCCTTTACCCTGTTGGCAAAACCCCGATAATCAGAAGGCACAGTCCCTTTACCCTGTAGGCAAAACCCCGATAATCAGAAGGCACAGTCCCTTTACCCTGTAGGCAAAACCCCGATAATCAGAAGGCACAGTCCCTTTACCCTGTAGGCAAAACCCCGATAATCCACAGTCCCTTTACCCCAGCAAAACCCCGATAATCAGAAGTCCCTTTTACCCTGTAGACAAACCCCGATAATCAGAAGGCACAGTCCCTTTACCCTGTAGACAAAACCCCGATAATCAGAAGGCACAGTCCCTTTACCCTGTAGACAAAACCTCGATAACCAGAAGGCACAGTCCCTTTACCCTGTAGACAAAACCCCGATAACCAGAAGCCATAGTCCCTTTTCCCTGTAGACAAAACCCCGTTAACCAGAAGCCACAGTCCCTTTACCATGTAGACAAAACCCCGATAATCAGAAGGCACAGTCTTTATCCTGTAGACAAAACCCCGATAACCAGTAGACACAACCCCTTTAATCAGTAGGCACAATCCCACCACCAAGTAGGCACTATCCCATTATCCAGTAGGCACTACTAGACGATACCAGTGTTAGTCTCAGGACAAACACTGTTCCCCTCCTTCAGCAATCCATCACTTCAGCGAGTTATTTTGGTACCATGGATGAAGATTAAGTTACTTTTCCAAAGTTTTCCTTTATCGACGGTAAAATTACTTCTAGGACATTTGGAATAAACCTATATATTTATTGGTCTTAACTGTAATAATTCCGACAGTGTTCGGTCTAAATATGCATATTCGTCAGAAATGTATCTGAAGCCCGTATCGGGGTCGGTCATCTGGATAGTGAGGTTCAACGTCTGGCAAGAAATCAGAACCACACGGGAATAGTGTCAGTTTTAGGCCAGATAAGTCTCATTTGCTCCCATCATGCTTCATCCCAATCTTCTTCCTGATAAAAAGGAGGTGATAAATTGTTGACAGCGGGGATCAATCTGCCAGCCTCCCTTGCTATCAGCGCTACTGGTGAGTTTAGTCTTTCTACACTGTCTTCTCTTCAAGACCAGAGAATCGAGTCTCCGCAAGCAGCCCTGCCAGATTGCATATGCATGGAATGCGTGCTCGTAACACAAAACACCAACAGCACTTCCTGCATTATAAACAGCACAATGTATTTCTGTATTTAAAAAACCCTACCATCAATTATCTAATCCCCGTTTCATTGACTCCTGGGTATCGCAATGTTTAGGAGAGGCGGGAGTCTAATCTCAGGAGGGCGGGAGTTTAATCTCTGGGTTTGAACGCTCGCTGACCAGGCAGATAAGAGCGCCGACTTACAGATAAAGAAAAAACTAAAATATCTGGACGATAATGACATGAACTAGATGTGGTGAAAGTCAAAACTGGGCGTCAATTGAAACAGTCATTTACCACGCACACACCACATTTAAATGTCACAAAGTTAGAAAGTGAGTAACTCGGTTTTCAACTAGACCACTCTGTCTGTTCTCAACCATAACGCCCCCTGTTGCAGTGGGGCTTTAAACGGACGTGGGACCTGTCCAGTTCCATCCATGTGTAGCCAGTCCATCCAAACATCCTGTGGTCATCGGACGCGAACCGACAGCATAGACACAGCGTCGTTCATACAACGCACGTGCTACACGTGATAGTCATCAACTATGAATAACTCGAAATGTGTAACTGTTTCTACAACCGACACTTTTTACCCCACGAACATGATTACTCTCAGCTTCGGGTCTGGAGAGACAATTATTGCAATTAGCTTACTAAGCAATTTAACTTAAATAGTCGAACATGTTTAACACGTGTTCTACTTTATTTTTAACAAGTGTGCCTAGTATGTTCTAAGTGGACGCGTCTTTTCGACGGGGTATATATGTGTGTATATTTACCTAACATCACAATAAAGGTGAAAAGAACCTAACCTTCTCCATTTTCGTTTCCATATCATATTTACTTGGGATTATGTCAGGGAAACTGAGATGGGTTGTCTCTTTGTGTGAATGATGTATCTCGACACTGAGATCAGGCGTTCGTTGTCCCGCGACATTGAGATTAGTCGCACGGAAACCGGTGTCTAGCTCTGCCTGTGTGGACAGCTCTAGACATTCCGACAAGCTGACACAAAAATACCTGTCTCCATCATATATAAAGTAAAATTCATGAATTGTGTGAAAACGGTAAGTACCTACCATACCACCTTCATATCTGAAATAAATATTGTTCAAAGCAAATATAATTATACAAATAAACAAAATATATATTTATGCAATACTTACATATACGCTTCTGTAATTCTTGTTCAAATACGCAATGGTTGTATTGAGAGGGTATTCGCTGGAACTAACATCGTCACCAGTTTGCAGGACATAATCTCGGGTTTCCGACCCGAACGGGTAGAAAAGTTTCAGTGGCACCCCTGATACGCTTAACACACTCAGGTACACTCCAACGGCAGTCAATAACAAACACGTCCTCATTTTGAATGAGTTTCCCACTTCCAAATCAATGCAACCACCCCTCTCACAAACCAGCTTCCATCAGGGATCCCCCAGTCTACCAACGGCCAGTACCCATTGCTGGAGGATTTTTGTGTCTGGAGTAGAATGCTGCAATTTGATTGGTGTGAGATAAGTGACGTCATCCACGAGGGATAAGGTTGCTGCTACTGAAAGACACATTGTTCCCATCACTGGACGGTAGGGGTTTGGGAGGGTGGGCGGGGGTCTCCTGGGGTGGGTCAGGGGTCAATCACTTCAAGTGGTCGGCTTTACACATCTGTGTTCTATTAGTTTTATATTGTTTCAAATGTCACTTATACTACAAGAGTAAAACAAATATGTATCATATATATTTTTATAAAAAATAAATTTAAATATTACATCCCCTGTGATAAGTTTAGGATGTATCTGTCAACTAACAAAACTTACGAATGCCGGCGATAAAAAACATGACATTCTATGTGTCAAATATGTTGATAACCAAACCACGCTTATAAACCATGCTCACTTTCCATGAGCTTGTTAAACTGCAGGTGGATCTAATACATCGAGTCATGTGACCAAATTCCTTTGAGTTATGAGGCAAGCGAGACCCCCACCCACACACAAGCTTTACAATATACAAGATTACATATGGAGTCAGGCACTTTGCATGCAGATTGATGTGGGTTGTCTTGTAGAGAAAACATGATATACTATCAGCTCGTTATGCAACAAGAGTTGTCCATTATGGCGCGAGATTGAGGTTATGTCATTGTTTCCACACATATCAAGCCGGTGTATTGTTTCAACGACGGGCCTCAGTGGGGGCTTGAACAGGCGCGCGGGGACGACGAAACATGGCATATGTTGGTATTTCAGATACAAATAAACATGACGAATTTCTGTAATTCACGAGGAATTAAATATTATCCCTGTAAACTGTCGTATAATAGTGCTACATTTGTATATATGAACGGATTTCTGCATACAACAAAACTGGCAATAGACAGAATCTCTCCAATTTATTTTAAGGACTGGTCATTTATTTTGAGGGGTTTGTTGTGGGGTGCTGTTTGGAAGTGTTCCTCCTCCCCAACATTATATTTAACACTTTTAAACTCCCTGCCCGTCCCAACCCCACCCAGGTATTTTCATTTTTATATGTAGAGTGAGTGAGTATGGTTTTACGCCGCTTTTAGTAATATTCCAGCAATATCATGGCAGGGGACACCAGAAATGGGATTCACACTTGGTATCCATGCGGGGAATCAAACCAGGATCTTCAGCGTGACGAGCGGAGGCTTTACCCATTAGGCTACCCCACCGCCCCGAGTGAGTGAGTGAGTGAGTGAGTTATTCTGATACTGAGATATTTCATACTACACAATGTACACATCAATATGGAGACAATATTCTCTCGGGGTTTAAAGGGACTATTCCAAACCATGGTTGAGTGACCTGTCGTTTGCATGTTAAATGACTCTTTAAACTGACGCTCCCCCAACGTCCATGTCATGTGAATATAGACCAAATATTATAGTTGTTTTTTCTCTTTGTCTATAAGTGGTGTTTTCATTGCCTGGTCAGCTGACGTTCAAATCCAGAGATTAAACTCCCGCCCTCCCGAGTGAGCAAAGGAGTTTACGTCCCCCCAGCAACTTGTTCACTTTTATGCAACCTGCAGTAAAAAAAATAATAGGAAAATCATAATTTCAATGGAACATGCATGATTTTTTTTCAAATATCGTGCATTTCTAAGTCACTTGTCAAGCGAAAACTGGAAATGTCGATGCATGTCAAAACCTGCCTAATCCTAGGACAACCTTATCTCGGATGCTTAATCTTTGTCTTCAGTCTGTAACTAGTACTCCTCAATCCCCAACACTGCATTCTTAAAAGATCCCGACCCCTGTAACGTTAAAAAAGAATATATAAACAGTCTAACGTATCTGGTGATTGTTGAAACTCAGCAAATAGCAGTAAAAGCCGTTGTTTAATAGTTTAATACGTGGACATATGTCAGCAGTGTGCGTCAGTGCAAAGTGATAAGGCACACAAAATGCACAGCATTTTTGATAAACGATGAATTTCCCCCCTACTCACTGAACCTACAACTGACTGCACCCATGATACGACGGTCCCGGCCTTTTGTATTCCCTTCAGCAGTGGTATCGATGCTTTCTGTGCCCAATGTAATTGTTTGTTTGTTCAACTGTAAAATAATAATTTGCAGATATTAAAATAACTGTTAATACGTGGCAGATGAACCAAACGCAACAATATGCCACAATGCACGATATCTCTGAAGTATGTTTTCATATAACAATAATGTTTAGTTCGGATATGACGTGCTTGTGTGAATCTGATCGCCCGCTTTGATGTTGTCTTAAACAGCTTGGCCAGATGTGAATATCACAGTCGCAATATATGACACATTCATTGTTTCTTGTGACTCACTTGTGATTCTTGCTCATAAATCTACACATTAACCGCCAAGAAAAAAACAAAGACTAATCCTTGTAATTAATTTTCCAAAAAGTACTCCCACTAAGTGTTTTTACCACATTAATGAGATGGCGTAGAATGTTTTACAAACATGTCTTCTCAGAACAGAATATTTCGATTGACGTCATAATTAATATTATGATAACCAAGACCAGATTGATGAAGTTGGACAAGAGTACAGTTGCCGCTGTTGCAGCTGTCCACAGATACAGGAAGACGTCTGCTGTTCAGCCAGTATCTCCGGGAGCAGACGACACAACAGCTGTTGGGGCGGGAACAAGCAACGAAACAATGCATGTATTTATACCTAATCAATTACTTTCACCCCTGTTTTGTTTCCGTCTTTGTCAGAAAAAGATCATTGTTTTACATGTAAATGATAATTAGATATGGCTTCCGTTTGTTCTGAAAACCGTAATTTTGATCAATATAATTGTTATATCTTCTGTAAGGAGGCCGAAGCATAAAGAAAATTAATTTCATATCAATGAGCAGTCTATTTCAAGTTCACTGCCTTTATAATTTCCCGTAAATATGATTTCGTCAAATCGACAATCGGAGTTGAAGAATGCTCACTTCAATTTACGTTTTGCCTATATATGGCGTAGTGTACCATGGGAACACGGAATCAGGGTAGATCCCCAACATCCCAGATTTGGGGAAAAGCCGATTAAAATAGAGATCGATGTCATAATGTGTGACTCTTTACACAATACTATCTCAGTGATACGACTATAGCTAAACGCTTAGTCTCTGAGTATGTGTGTGTGTGTGTGTGTGGGCGTGCTTTTCTAGTGCCAGCCCACCTGGATATCATGTGCAGTTTAACACAGACGGTCAACCCCGACACTGTAAACTGACCCCGAGCTGACCAAGTCCTTGTTTTATTGTCCTCTAATGTCGGTATGACGCGGCGGGGTATCCAACCAGCTAAATGTGAATATATATGACAGAAGTGAGCCCACAGTGAGAGACAGGGTCCTGGCTTACAGCATGACGCCATGTACCAACAGCTGGGTAGTTGCTGACGCTGTTGGGAGTTCGCGTTAAAACACCTGGGCGGCCCAGGAGAACCCGTGTTGACCAAGGTTCACCTACCTTTGATGACCAATGTTAAGTGCTCCTTCCACTACATCATACATCGACTGGCCGGTCTTGCCACACACAGGACTTCCGGCCTCTGGGTGCCGTTGAACAAAACAATCTTAACGCTACGGCGATCCTAACTCACATACCTTAACACTGACGTATTGTTTAAGTCGTTTTGTACAACGGCACCCTGGTCTGCAGTTTCCATGTGACGCCATTGTTAAACGTGGTTTGTTTAATTTATTCAGTCATGAATAAAACATTATTATTGATATGAACATGACTAACTAGTTATTGCTAGTATATATGTGTTCTGATATGCGTTAGGGGAAGGTAAGGTTTGATTCTTGTCGTAAATACTTTGAAATCAATAAAGCAACGATTTCCATCTCCGATTTTCTTCCTGTGATATCTAACTTTCTAGCCATATTGCAGGTATTGAATGGAAAAGCAACAATGGCAGTTTTCTCCAGCAATGGAAAACGTGTAAAACTTGCCTTGTCGTGTTTCGGATTCAACTGGCCGCCACTCCGTCCAAGGCTGTATTTTAGGCGTTCAACTTCGGGTACTGCCATGTGTTATCCTTGAGTAACACTGCGGGCAACTATCGGAGTGAGTGAGTTGAGTTTTACGCCGCATTCAGCTATATCCCAGCTATATGGCGGCGGTCTGTAAATAATCAAGTCTGGACCAGACAATCCAGTGATCAACAGCATGAGCATCGATCTGCGCAATTGGGAACCGATGACATGTGTCAATCAAGTCAGCGAAACTGACCACCCGATCCCGTTAGTCGCCTCTTACGACAAGCAAAGTCGCCTTTTATGGCAAGCATGGGTTGCTGAAGACCTATTCTACCCCGGATCTTCACGGGTCCCAACTATCGGATGGCAAGTCGATCGAACTGAGGATTGGCTGGCTACGATTGACCAGGCTGTGACATCATCGTGTCCTGACGCTATGCATCATTACTCATGCCGTCTATTTGCCAAAACCCGTGAAGGTCCGGGTTAGAATGAACCTTCAGTAATCCATGCTTGTCGTAAGAGGCGACTAACGGGATCGGGTGGTCAGGCTCGCTGGCTTGGTTGACACATGTCATCCCAATTGCGCAGATCGATGCTCATGCTGTTGGTCACTGGATTGTCTGGTCCAGACTCGATTATTTACAGACCGCCGCCATATAGCTGGAATTTTGCCGAGTGCGGCGTAAAACTAAACTCACTCACTATTTGCCAAATGGACTGTTCCACAATGCGATGTTAGCATTATCGTGATCATGAAGCATTTATCATCCAAAATTGTGTTCCACAGGAGATATTGCTTGTGTGAGATCAAACGATATCTCCTATGATATTGTTTTGACAGTAGATTTTGTACAATGCCCAGACAATGTTATGACGTCATGAACTTGACGTCACAATGCTATGACATCGCTGCACTGCAAGTCTAATGGCAGTACCGTGTTCAGGGATGTACATTTTTCATTGAGAACTGAAGAGTGATTTTTTTAATGATAAATAGAATCTCACCCTCGTGTCTTCCGATATCAAATATATCAACAATCGTTGACTAAAGTAAAAATATCCTCCGCAAGCCTTGGGTATTTGTAACTTAATCAACTCGTGTTGATATATTTGATGTCAAAAGACACTCGGGTGAGATTCTTTATATACATGCTATAGGCTTGGTATTCGTAGCACTAAGATCGCTTCTTGAAACGGAGCCCCCATCCTTTACAGGCGCTCGTGGTAGAGACAGAATGGAGCCAGCTGCTGTGTAAACCGCTCTGTATTGCGAGCGAGACTTTCTATCTATTAAACTGGCAATAATATATCACTCCTCGACATCCTTTCCTCACAGAAAGTAACAGAAGTGAAAGTAAAAGACGTCTAACATTTCCCCTCTGAAGCTTTAAGTCTAACATTTCCCCTCTAAAGCTTTAAGGAGTATTCCTAGATTATGTGTTAGCCTTTCGAGGGTATAGAGAGGTATTATTTTCATAAAAAGGTGCAAATAAATCAGTCCGATAATAAAATGTAAATTTCTGTTAAATTTGTGGTGAATCATTGTAGGAGCCATTGAAGCGGCCATAAATATTTCTATATATCAATCCTGTAAGAGTTCTCTCCCATTACAGTTTTGGATTTTCCTGACGCCCTGGTCTTGCAGACTAAATTAAAATCAAATCCAAATCAAGTCAAGTCAAGAATAATTTGTCAAGTCAATAATGTTTTAATTGTTCAGTAATCGTATTAACATATACCTATACTGATATAAAAGAGAACTACATTTCTGAGCCTAAAACCTAATTCCCCCTGGCTCCACATGATCATGGTGTCCACTACTGGTTCTGATGTCTTTAAAGAAGAGTATGACGCTCAACAAGAAATACATAGCACTTTAATGCCGTCAGGTTTACAGATATTCATACACTGTATGTACATATATTACATACTGGGACACTGGTGCAACAGACAAGACAATCATCAATTGTAACAGTAACATCAACATCTTATGTGACACATCTTATGTTGCTGAAAACATTTCATGTATCTTCTGAAGGCTGCAACAAACACAACACTTAAATTCCCGAACAATGTAATACCAGCAACATTTCTTTTTCTAAATGCTCAAGACTTCCACAAAATATTAAGTCAAATATGGCTTTTTGTCCCCATATAGTTTGCAAGCCAGTATATGCAATGCAAGTATCAGAAACTTAGAGAGCAGTTTGATGAGACAGTAGTTGTTGAAGCCTAAAGTGCTTCTTAATCAAAGCAATTAATCCTTTTGTATCCTTTCAATCGCCTGCTGAAAATGTTGGAAAAACTATGTTCAGACGAATGTTAAATACCAAATGGTCAGTGATCATTTCACTTCAGATGACATTATAAATAAATCCTTGCATGCATTTCCCATTAATCCATTCGTTGCGATTCTGCACAGCTACAATACAGATTTTAGAGATCAAACTTAATAAAAGGAATGAGTGAGAAGAGTTTTTAACTGAAGCAGTGTCCAGGCCACTACAACTACAAGGCTGCCACCAATGGGTGTACAAACTACCTAAGGGGAAATGAAGCCCAATGAACACAAATTGGGTCAGAAATTGTAAGAAAATGCTTTTTAATTAGTGCAAGATCATTTCACCAATATATGGTTGCCTGGGAACTGTCCAGACAGCAGCAGACTTATGACCGCTGTAGTGCTTCAGTATGTGCAATCACCTTCACGCTTCAAATGCTTTCTGGACTCGGACCCTGTCTAGGTTGAAGAGAATCATTCACAGCTGGTACAGCCCAAACGCCCCCAAACTACCTTGCAGGAGTGGAGGTGGCAGCAGCATAGTATGTCTATTAACTCCTTCCAAACTTTCAGCTGTTAACTCAGATATCATTATCATGAGTCACAATATTCTTCCTCATGAAGTTTTTGGTAATTCTAACCAGAAATGTGTTTACCTATTTAAGCCCAATGGCAACTGGGGCAATATATCTTTAATATATGTAAACTGCTAACTGCCCATATTAATGAAATGATCACAGGAAGCCATTATCTCACCATTTCCTATTTTATGCCTGGATTATCAATATGTCAACGCATCTATTGTTCAGTGAAATGTAAGCGCCATGCATCAAACTGTTGCTTTGAGTCCGCATCCACAATGATCCACACTTGTGTAGAGAAAACCTACTGTTGTTAGCGTCCTACTTTTCCTAACCGACTGTCTGTTTTCGGATTTGCTGTGATAGCTTGAACAGCAACAATGGCCGAGTTAATCTGAGTCTGTAAGTCACGCAGATCCTTGATATGCATAAGTCGTAGAATCTTGGCCGCTTCAGTCATGATGTAATCTGGGAAGAAATGGCACTGAATGATAAATATACTCGTCTGAACAGAAGAATACAGATTTCATGTTTGATGCATTTGAAAAAACCCAGTTCCATACCATAAAAAAATGTGCATCACTCTCCACTGTTGCATAGGTAAAATTTAGCACCTTTTCCATTGCGTGAAAACAGTGAAATCTCATAAAGTCTTCTCGGCAAGGAGTTAAAAAGTTTGATGTTGGATAAAAGACTAAATTCCCTGTAACAATCAGAGTAAACAACAATGACAGAGAACAATCAACAATGACCGAACAATCAACAATGACAGTTAACAATGACAGAGACAGGAAACAACAATAACATAGACAGTCAATAACAATCACATAGTCAATAACAGAAATACAAACCTCCTGCCTCGAATCCAAGCTCAGTTTTATCCAATGGTATTAATTCATTCTGAAATAATAATAAGGTGATGTACATACATATTGTTATCCACATACATAGGCATAATAAAGTATGACACCCTATGCCTAAATGATTTACATTACATTGAATATGTTCAGTTGTGGAACTGCGACAAGTGTTCTGAACCAGCCTGTTTGTACGTTGTTTAACACTGCACTCAGCAATATTCAAGCTATACTCCTCACAAAAAGTTAAGCAACACAAATTTGTAGTCTCATTACATTTTCATTTATTGAAATTGCAAATCATGGAATGATGCAATAGAAAGGTGAAACATGTACACACGATTAACAAAATGAAAACAAATGGCACTGAGCAATAATTGACTTAAAATCATCACAAGCATGTACCCGCGAAACAGTCGTGCAAAATGTGCTGCATTGATGGAGCAAAATGTTAACATTAAGGTTCAAGTCAGTTTTGGACAGTGAAACAGTGTTCAGTAACTCGGTATGACCACCATGAGCACAAATGCAAGCTTCTACACGTCTTTGCATTGACCAAATGAGCCTTTAAAGTTGCTGTTTTGGAATGTTCTGCCATTATCTCTGTAACGCCTGCTCAAGGTCATCCAGAGCCTGGGGGAACATGGACTCCGTAAACACGACTTCCAATAATGTCCCAAGCATGTTCAATTGGATTAAAATCAAGTTATCTTGCAGGCCAGTCCATATGTGTGATGTTGTTGATCTAAACAACATCGTTAACAACTCTTTCTCGGGCATTATCATCCATAAAAATGAAGTTAGGACCAACTTGTACTACCAGAGGAATGATTACAGGTAGGTTTACACAGATCAGGGTGCATGTGTGAAGAGTGGAGCATATTCATGCCACACATTTCGCATGTTGTTTCTGAGCGTGGTTGTGTTCTGGTGATGTTGTCAATGTTATCCGATAAATTAATTTGACAATCACTAAAGGTATGTATTCTTTGAATATTTACCTTTCAGTAAGATGTCGGCAAAAACCGCTAACGAGATTGATAAAGATATTACACTGAAAATACTTGTTGCTTAATTTTTTGTGAAGAGTATATATGGCAGGCACCAGCCTGTCAAGACTACTGAACAGAACATGCTGCTGATGTTTTATAAGTTGATATTTCACTGTCTTAGGTGTGCAAGACACATCCTCCCCAAGTTTCAAGACAGGAGAAATCCTCCAAGCTAAGTAGACTCTCCTGCTCACCTTGCTATTAGGGCTTTCTGCAGCCTCTAAGCTGCTCTTAGACAACCGCTCTTTCACCAGTAGACAGATTGCCTGGAAACAGAAGATACTTCTAGACGGTGGTCATCATTTAGTTCAGATGTGAGTACCCTACTCTAGTCTTTGATAGGCATTAAAAAGGACATGAATACATGACACTTAAATATGTACAACACTTCTTTATGCCCTGATATATTTCTGACACATAGTCCCAAAGCATGTAGATATTGTTATGCATAAAATGTATTCATGCACAACTCTATATGCTACCAACTCACACCATGACACACATGCAGATAGGAACACCAGATAATTTCTTTAGTTAGATTCGGGTTAGAATTGATCTTCAGTAACCCATGATTGTCGTAATAGGCACATAACGGGATTGGGTGGTGAGACCCACCAACTTGGTTGACATATGTCATTATATCCCAATTGCGTAGGTCGATGCTCATGCTGTTGATCACTGGATTGTCTGGTAAAGATTCCATTATTTACAGACTGCTGCCATGTAGCTGGAATATCGCTGACTGCAGGCATAAAACTAAACTCACTCACTCACTTTAGTGAGTCTGCCACAAGAAAAGGCAAATGTTTGTTTATTAGACTGATAGTTCATCAGCATAATCTGACATCAGTTCATCTGACATTGAACTAATACTCAGGTTATATTACCACGATAAATAGCATAAACATTTACAATCATTAGCCTCACCTTCAGTTGCTCCAAATGGTCACTGTGTGGAGGAACCTGCATCATCAGAGCAAGGGAAGCAACTCCTGCTTTAAAGTCCGGATCATCAACTATCAATCGATGACAATGTAATGTGAGTTACACATTGCAGAAGGTGTGATGTATAATGTACAACATACATGTTTGAAATGACAACAGATCAAGGAATACATCAGAACAAAAAAATACTGAACTGTGAACCTTAGATTTAAAAACATTCATTTGTTTTTATATTTCAGATATCGAAGATGGAATACTGATAGTACAGAAACATGTAGGCTAGAAAGCCCTGTGAATGCTATGTTATCAATAACCAACCAGGAATTTATAAGGTGTCTGCATAAGCTTGTTGTTTAATAATTGAACACTGTATTGTCAGGGATGAGAATGAAGTTTTGAGAAAAACTCGGAAAACTAGCCGAAGCTCCTGATATTTAGGCATTTAGACCTTTAAAACTGGCTCAGAAATGACAATATCATGAACACAGCAACCATTAAAAAACTTTAAATCTGCTGAAGCACATTCATACAATTGTCAACGGATTTAGACGATTCACAAAAATGACCCTTGGCTTTATGAAATTCAAAGAATTCTCATCCCTGTATTGTTCACGACTGACTGACTGAGTTTGGTTTTACGCCACTTTTAGCAATATTCCAGCAACATCACAGCGGGGAACACCAGAAATGGGCTTCAAACATTGTACCCATGTGGGGATTCGAACCTGGGTCTTCGGCGTGACAAGACAACGCTTTAACCACTAGGCTACCCCACTGCCCCGTATTGTTCACGAAACCCACTCAGGTCATTTAGCATTTCAGCCATTAACATCAAATCTTCATGTCAGATTTGACAACAAAAGGGGTTTTAATACTGTTTTGGAATATTACAATGTCAGGATTTATTATGACACTAAAGGGGGCGGTGGGGTAGCCTAGTGGTTAAAGCGTTGGCTCGTCACGCTGAAGACCTGGGTTCGATTCCCCACATGGGCACAATGTGTTAAGCCCATTTGTGGTGTCCCCCGCCGTGATATTGCTGGAATATTGCTAAAAGCGGCGTAAAACTAAACTCAGTCAGTCAGTATGACACTAAACCAAGGTTTCTTGCAAAGGCACCGTCTACCTTCTTGTAGCCATGTATGAACATTAAGCATAATCACCCTTTCCCAAACAGTCTGCTAACATAGGAAACTATTGTATGACAAAGTGGGGGGACATCCTAGTATTTCTCTACACTACACCAAATTCATTAGAGGGAGATTTACATTACCAAAAGCTTCAGGTCTTTGGATAAATGCTGTATATAAAAAGAAGACACTTATACTTGATATCACACAAAGAAATAATTAAACTTGATAATTATATGATAAGAGCTCTTAAAAGAGGTGTCTTAACATATGACCCGTGAAGATCTGGGTTAGAATTGGTGTTCAGCAACTCATGCTTGTCGTAAGAGGCAACTGATGGGATCGGGGGGTCAGGCTTGCTGACTTGGTTGACTCATGTCATCGTATCCCAATTGCATAGATGGATGCTCATGCTGTTGATCACTGGATTGTCTGGTTCAGACTCAATTATTTACTGACAGCTGCCATATAGCTGCTATATAAGAGTGTTGTCCAATCAGCATCAACTTTACTTCTATTGTTCGACAGCTGATACTTTTCATCATCCTTATAGTGCATATGATTATTACCCCCACAAATTAATATGTCAAAACAGAATTTCTCTCCACATTCTTGGAAACAATCCAGTTTTAGAGCAGAATTAAAGATAAACCAATGGCTGTCTGTCTCAGTACTGCTGTTTAGTGAGGACAAGATCCTCTGTTGTCCATTCCATTACGAGAAATATTCTGGATCCATTCTCCTCAATAGCTATATTTAACAGTTACATCACATCCTCCATTCATCCTAACCTAGCAAACATTTTCTCTCGCTTATGTACTTACAGTCTAAGAATAATGTTCTTTACTATTTACATATAACATTACTGGTTATTTTAAAGATCTCCTCATGTTATTGTAACCATAGCGACTCACAGTTGAGACTGTCCAGGGGATTGCTGGACGATCCTGCCACACCAGTACGGCTCATCTGGACACTCTCTGGGGTCACACTTCGGTATTTTTCAGCTGAATGAAAACATGCAAACTCTATTGATATTTTAAATTTTCATAGTGTTTTATACAACATACGCATGATAATGTAATTTTTGTTGTTGTTATTTTCATTATGATTTTTCAGTGTACATAGAATCTCAGGTTTGTTCACTCATACCAGGACATTTGAGGTTTCATGGTTACTTCACAGCATATCAGTAGGAGGAATGCTGAAGTGATGCAGATCTTTCGAATCTGTTACTCAACCATCCCAATCATCCTGACTCGGGGCAGTGAAAGTAAATGCTTATGGCCAAGAGACCTTATATTATGTTCCATAACATCAGTAGAAGCGTGATCACTTTGCATCTAATATTCAAGTTCATCTAATATAACCAATTTCATGAACTTTAAAAAGACAACTGCTCCAATGACACTACTCCAAAGAAGTTACAGACATCCCATTTCTCACCTCACTATTGTTAATCTGGAGGCTTTTGTATCACACAGCCTTCCAGTTGTCGTTTTCAATCATTCTTTAAATTGTTTTAAAGTAGAATATTATCTAAGCAGCTATGACAACAGTACTACAACACTACTAATACAACCTTACCATTATCACCATATTCCAGTCTTACGGCAAACCCAAGGAGCCAATCTATTACCGCACCATTCTCACCACACTTGTAGGGGCAGTTCAACTCTTTCAGGTACTAAACACAGAAGAAATATATAACTGACAACATATGTTCCTAACACTTTTAGCTCTACATATCCTTATTGATATTTTTAAAAAAACAAACATATGCCTTGTGATTATATCAACCGTGATATCTAGAGGATGAAACCTGTTTCCCATCATTTCAACCATTGTACAGTGATTAGAGAGAGAGTTATGACAGGATACTAACATTTTCAAAGGCTTTTTCCCAATCTGGACTGTGTATATTCCTTAGAGAACCTCGGTCCTCAATCTTGTAGTGACGGATTTTCTGGTCCTCCAGCCACAATATCATGTTACGGAACTCATTTTCATCTGTAAATAAAAGTCACAACCTTATCAGCAAAAGCAACATAACTACGTTCAGTACAGATAGTGTGTATGTGTATGTGTGGCTGCTTGTACTAGCCCAGACTGAAGCTGGTTTTATAGTGCTAGCCCACTGAGATACCATGCCGCAGTGAAGCATGAATACCCCACTCAGACACATTATACTGACTCTGAGCCGTCCAGTCCAGTCCTTGTTGTACCCATTAATGCCAAGCGCCAGACAGGGACCAACAAGTACCATATTTTAACGTCTTTTGGTATGACGCAGAGTGGGATCAAACTCGCGACCTTCCGCTGTTCTGGCGGACGCTCTAACCACTACACCATGGAGGCGGTCAGCACGAGTAATGATCCAGGTCACGTCATGTTATGTTCTCCATTTCATTTGGCTTGCACTACCAAACCTGCACATTTTATAACCTCCTTTAAAACTAAACAAAAAGTCTCAAATGCCATTCAGTGCTGATGTTTTCTGCTTACTCTCTACAACATCATTTTCATTTCTATGCGTAGTGATAATATACAATTTGAAGATTTACCAGTGAAGCAAATGCCATTAGGTAACTGCTCTCCTAGCTGTTTCTACTTCTAATTACTATATTTACTGAATCATCTTCCATGAAAAGTCTTTATTCCTTTCAGTTTCTTCAAACCCATAACAATCCTAATACTTCTACACCTTGACATGTTCTGTTATTGCTACAGATAGCACTTCATTTACTTCGGAAACAAGAAATAAAGGCCACGCCATTGTTAATTGAGGAAAATCCAATGTGAAACTAGAGGCACTGTGACTTGGTCTATTCTCAGAGCCCTTGTTTCAATGAAAATGTTCATATCGCCGGCACAGCAGCAAGAACAATAGCTAGAAGCAGTACAACGCACCGTTTACGTTGAATTTATCAGCACTCTGGCAGTCAAGGGCATGCAACTTTCGCCTGAACATCTGTAACCATATAAAATTACGAAGTATTCGTAAGTTATTTCACAACGCTACGATTCGAGAACTGCCACTCTTCGTCCACGTTAGGCCAGGTGGCGCTGAGTTAAGGGAAGCAACTCCGAATGTTACACATAAACTGGTATCCAACGTGGGTTGCGCTCAGCACTTACCCAGTCTCTTGTCACGAGCTGATTGTTTTAATCATAAATATGGTCTTCTCCTAGACGTCGGCAGGTGTTTATCATGATATTTTTGGGTGCTATTTAATAAGACATATGCATAAAATTTAGTAATCAAAGTGAGAGACAGAGAGTTGTTTGCAAACATTATAAAAAAAATACCGAAATACCTCCCCCTGCGCTCACTTCTCGTTCCCATGTTCCAAATGATATGATGTAACTGAAGCGTCTGTAAAATCACAGAATACAAGGCCCTGAGACATGGTAGAAGATGAGACCTGAACGGTTTGGCGAGAGTACTTCAAATTCTCGTGAAAGTGACTTTTGGGTATTACATATGTAAGTTGTCACAGTGAGTGTGCTTACAGAACCCGCCACAGTATTTCAATTTGAAATATATCTCTTTTATATCTTAAAGAATTTTAACTTTTACACATGGTACCCTAGCCATCTGTTCAGAATAAAAACAAATTTCCAAAATTGTAAAAACAACACGTAAAATCATTGGGATCTCCTAATCAAGTATTGGCAGCTTAATCCAGCAACAGATTTCTGATAAAGCCCATAAAATAATTCGTGACATCTCTCATGTCCTTTCCTCCTTAAACTAATTCCTTCATCTGCAAACCAGCCAGCATCAGTACCGTTTACACGTAAATAAAAGGTCTTAATCTTCACTGAGTGAATTTATTGTTGATATATATTCACATAGCTACATTGTTTGACCTGGTTTCTGCTTGCAAAATGCTACGTGTATTTAGGAGATAAACATACTGTGTTGGGAAATCGGAGGTATATAACGAGTGAGTGAGTATGGTTTTACGCCGCTTTTGGCAATATTCCAGCAATATCACGGCGGGGGACACCAGAAATAGGTTTCACACATTGTGCCAAAGGTATATAACGAAATTATAATAGCTTATAATAATAATTGGTTTTAAATCAAATTCAGAGCTATTATAATTTCGTTATATACCTCCGATTTTCCAACACAGTATGTTTATCTCCTAAATATGCGTAGCTGTGATTTGTTCTGTTATCTCTTTAGATATGAATGTTTAGTGGTGTCTGTATTCCAGGTTAGATTTTACTTGTACGAACCTCTTATGATGTAAGACAAGTTTCCTTTGGCACAATAAAGTTTTATCTTGTCTTACATTGCAAATATTAAAAACTCCTTACACCACCCTTTAGATACGGTACTAAACGGTGTATGGAGCTTCGATGACCTTGAAAACTTCCGGAAGAATATTGCGCATTCCGGAGAATGAATGCACATAAAGAAAGTGATAAGATTTCTAGAAAAAGAAAGCAAAGTCACAAGACGAAAAACATCAAATCTGAGAAGAAGGACCATTCAAAATATGTTTGTATTGGTTCAGTCAAGCAAATGTTTCCTCGTCATAAGAGCACTAAAGTATCACAAAACGTCAAAGTTTACGGTAGATTTTATTGGGCAAGTTTCTGAGTTTGAAAGTCGGAATTTCCAGTCCCTGGTCAACAACAACAACAACAAATGACTGTAAAATAGAAATGGGTTCCAAACCCACATAAGTGTTGCACATATGGGGCAAAAGAAAGACAACGAAGGTCCTAGTGGTAAAGAATGAGCAAAATTGATAGCAGTGCGGCGATATGGCGAACGCCCCAATTTATTGCGTCGCTACGCTTGATTTAATCTTGTTCGGGTTAGTAGGGGGTTCGAAACCCCCCCCCCCCCTTTTGAAAATGACTTAAGATCACATTGAAGATTTTTTGCGTTGACGGAGCCAATAGGGGGGTTCGAAGAAAATTCGAACCCCCTGGCCATAAAAATTCCTGGATCCGTCCCATCGGGTGGTCAGGCTCGCTGAATTGTATGATACATGTCATCGTATCCCAGTTGCGTAGTGCAAATGATGTTGATCACTGGATTCTCGGGCCCAGACTCGATTATTTACAGACCATCGCTTTAGTCTGGAATATTTATGAGTGCGGCTTTGAACAACAAACAAACAAAGTGAACGCGTAAATCTGTATATTTCCTCAAACCGTAGTTCTCAGTCGCTGCAATCAATCAATGTAGGATTGTCCAGTAAAGCATAAGTGTAAAGCCCTTGGCCCACAGAACAGTATATACATAAAGGGGTGTAAGAAAATGTGTACGTAAAATAACATAACACAATACTATTTACCTATTTACAACAAAACAGATAAAACAGTGTAACCTGTTTGAAGTGGTGAATGAATTTATAAGCTAATTATTTTGACATGACTGAATATCCAGACGCATTGGAATTTAAGCAGGTATGAATTTTTTTTAATAACTTTATTTAAAAGTGTAGGTAGGAATTTTAATAACCTTTTGGAAAATGCAACTTATTGTCTTGACCGGAGTCATAAATTTATATCGCTGGCTGTTACAGGGAACAGATTTAATCCCATCTACTCAAGCCTGGGAACACATGTTTAAACGGATGGTGATGATGATGGGTGCTGCCGAGGGTGTGCTGGATCCGCTGGAACTCCCGGGAGCACAGACGCTGGCGGATGTCAACAATGGCATCCAGCTCCGTGATGACAAATGCTTGTTGTACGACAAACTATTTGGCCTAGATTTGAAAGATTCAAAGGGTGACCTCGCCACCATCAGGTCTGAGACAGGATAACTGACAGATCAGCAGACAAAGCTAACAACCTGTTAGCCTGGCAGCTGTATCACCAAGATACTGATGAGATGATGAACTAACCCCATCAAAGGAATTGTTGCAAAGTATAACATCCTACGATATAACAAACTTCATTAATTTATGTACATTTTGTGTACAATGTCCACATGTATACCTAATTAGATATTCTATGACCTCAATTGTTGTTCAGTATTTAAACAGTAAACTGGTATTGTTGTTTTTGTTTTTAGCTGTAATCCATTAATTATTGGCCACATCTTGTTAAAGTAAGCCAGATATTTCCTTTTATTAGTGACATCCGGGACCTGTAGGAAATGAAATTTACATGCTTGGCCATTCACACTTCCTACAGTCCACAAATCGTGAAGATCCGGGTTAGAATTAGATCCATTGTTAAGAGGCGACTAATTGAAGCCCATTTCTTCATGTTGTGGAATATTGCTAAAAGCGGCTTGTTCAGTCAGAGGTAAGAGGCGACTAACGATCGGGTTGTCAGGCTCTTACTTGGTTAACACATGTCATTGTATCCAAGGTGCGATGCTCATGATCTTGATCACTTGATTGTCTGGTCCAGACTCGATTATCTACAGACTGCCGCCATATATCTGGGATATTGCAGCAGTACAGAACAAAATATTCTTGATGCGACCTGAAACCAAGATGTCCTCATGTCAAGGTCAGTGCAGATGCTGTCTACATACGACTCAAACTAACCAGGGGCGTAAAGCTAAACTCTCTCACTCCTACAGTACACACACATTCGCCTTAACAAAAGCACACACCATGCAGGTATAGTATAATTTCAATACAATACAACAAATACTCTGTACATTATTATGATTATGATATACATTTTAGCGTTAATAACTAATAGAATATTTTCATTAGTCATATGGAAAATAGTCCATTTAAACTAGTCACGATCGCAACACAGGTCTTACTTATGTTAGTATATCAAGGCCCTTAGATGTATTTCAGTCTAGATCAGTCAATACATATTGCAGCTATCCTGTCTTGACTTGACTTACTCGGTATTAATTACTAGACACAGTATATGTCTATTACTGGACACACTGTATGCCTATTGTCTTTGTGTTGTTTTACGTCCATGGCTACACAGGCAGTATGCCTACTGGGCTATTTACCAAGTGTACACGGCGACAGAAACAAAATAGATATATGGTCAACCAAACTCAAGACATTTTCTAGAAGCCGGCGTTTATACCAGAGACGCCACGAATTACAGAACAAAAAATACACAAATGTTTGATGGTGGCTACAAACGAAACAACCAGTACATTAAATTAAGTTCTCATTGTTTTCGTAACAGTTTTCAGCTTAGTAACGTGTTGTTAATATTTGTATTTTATGCATACTTTCCGTTGCCGGATACTTTTGTTTTTGGAAACATAAAGGATTCGTTGTGGAAGGAGTGATTCAATGTTATCTCTTGATATATGAGAACCGCTTGCGCTATGCCATGTACATGTTAGAGGGATGGCACCTTCTGCATGTAGTTTACTGTCGTTCTTGTTTGTGTTGTTGTTTTGTTTGATTGCGGTTTGTTTTTGTTTTGTTTTTTTGGGGGTGTTTTTTGTTTGGTTGGTTGTTTTTTTTTTGATTGATTGTTTTGGTTTTGTTTGTATTTTGTTGTTTTTTTGTTTTTTGTTTTGTTTTTTGTTTGTTTTGTTTTGTTTTTGGGTGGTATACAAGTATAAGTTGTTTAGAAGACGTAAATGGATAAAAATTCATGGATTATATCCTTGCAATTCTGGTCGTAAGATGCGACTAACGGGATCGGGTGGTCAGGCTCGCTGACTCATGTCATCGTATCCCATTTACGTAGATCGATGCTCATACTCTTGATCACTGGATTGTCTGGTCCGGGCTCGATTATTTTCAGACTGCCGCAATATACTAGTAGCTGGAATATTGCTACGTGCGGCGTAACACTAAACTCACTCACTCTTCATTCTGATGAGACCCACAGAGAATTCGGGAACAGAATTGGTCCCTAGCAATCTACGCTCGTGGTACAGACGATTTAACGGAGGTTTTCGGGACTGCAAACTTTGTTGATAGGGTGTCACTGTACACTGGACCCGTACGTGGATCGGTGCTTACAATATCAATCACTGGTTTGTTTGATCCAGGAATATTTCCGAGTACTGCGGTAAACAACAAATAGATGTACAACACTCCATGGGAACTCTCCTCTTGACGAATTGAATCTTGGTCCATATCAATCTCGTACAGCTAGGTATGTGAGAATTATATATCTTGTGAGGTCATTATTCAGTGTGAATAGTGATAGTTCGAAAACACTCGCGTGAGTGTTGCGTAATCTGTATGGAGTGGATACGTGCACTACTAAACGTTATCCCCACTACAATAATCTGTCTAACACCGTAAGGGTATACCCTCAATACACTGATTTACAAAAGAAAGTACTCATCTGGTGCTTCCGGACACCTCCCCCAAAACATTTTTTTTTAAAATACAAAACAACAACAAACAAACCAAAAAAAATCAGAAACAAACCGTGCAAGTGTTTTGGTTGTGACTTACAAGTAAAAATCATTGTTTTGTCTTGTTACGTCCCACGTATACCCAGCTGCAACGTTGCCAGCGCCTGATTTCCTCCCCAAAGTGGACGATTCAGACGTTGACGGCTCAATGGAATGCCCCAAAATGGTATATAGACACGGAACGAAGTCATCTAGTTACTGCGTTCGTGTTGGTAACGTGATGAAGATAGAGAATGCGCGGGTGATGTCATTTTGCGGGTGGTCACTCAGTTTTCCAGTTCTGTGACTGCCTCATGTCCATCTTGTTTGTTTGAACATATTTTATTCAGTGTTGAAATGGATTGGGCACAAGTTATGTAACTTATTACCGCCCGCCCCCCATCAGAAACATGAACAATAATGAACAATAATGATTGGACGTAATGGATGGACATAATAATATTGAGACATATTATTGATTAATTGAAGCGCTTACTTCGTACAATGTATTTATGCACATGTCTAAAGATATTTTCATTGATAGTATTTGGCAGAGCAGGGTTGCCGTAAAGAATGGTATCAATGTCTAACTGAACTTTTGATAGTTCAAAGTCTTTCTTCAGATCAAAACGGCAACTGACAAATTTTGGACATTTTAAGAAGAAATGGTTAGCATCTTCCACCGGAGCACCACAATTGCAAGCTCTACTCTCTGATAGATTAACACGAAACAGATCTGCTTGTAATGAACTACACGAATGTCTTAACTTCGTGTGTAGTATATTTGTCTTTCTTTCACCAAATAGAAAATATTTTGGAACCTTGTCATTATTTCCAGATAACTTTGATTTAAACGATGATAATGAATTTGTACATTTTGTTGTAGAGGAGAGAGCATTCCATAAACTTGCAGAATCATAAATAAATGACTTTTGGAGAATTGAGGTGCGAAATTTAGGAACACGTCTAACTTTCAATGGTATCCAACCAGTTTCACTGTATAAACTATATCTTGAAGCGAATTTAGGCAATCCGGTTACAATTCTTGCTGCTTCAAGTTGTAACATTTCAAGTTTATCACAAATATAGCTAGGGCAATTATCCCAGACCTCAGATGCATATTCTAAAATAGGCCTAATATACATTTCGTACATACTAGAAAGTATATATCTAGGTAATACGTACTTTAGCGTCCGAAATGAGGAAACAATTTTTGCGGCCTTTTCTATTACAGCAGATACATGATGAGACCATTTTGTATTATCTGAAAAGATGACACCGAGGTGTTTATGTTGATGTACACGTTCCAAATGTTCATTATTGAAAATCAAGTCAGGAACTTGTGGACAATTTCCATTTTTAAAAAGCATGAATCTGGTCTTGTTCGGGTTAAACTTAACTAACCATTTGTCAGCCCATTCATTCAATTTTGCTAAATCATAGTTAAGAGTAGCTTCTATGGTTTTTACATCTTTTCCTGCAACACCAATTGAAGTGTCGTCGGCAAACAGTCTTGTGACATTTGTTAGAGTTTCAGGTAAATCATTGATGTACACAAGGAACAAAAATGGACCAAGGACAGATCCTTGAGGAACTCCTGCAGTAACATTTAATTCTTTTGATAATGTACCATTGATGGAAACACTCTGTCGTCTATCAGATAAATAGTTTGTTAACCAACTAAGTAACTGCCCACGAACACCATAATTTTCTAATTTGAGCAATAGCCCTTTATGCCACACCCTGTCAAAGGCCTTTGAAATGTCACAAAAAATCATACAATAAAGGTGATGAGTATCTAGAGCTGAACATATATTGTGATAGATTTCAATGAGTTGAGATGTGGTAGAGTGGTTTGTAGTAAAACCTGATTGAAATTTACTTAAAAGGCTATGTTTATTGAAATGGTTATGTAAATGCTTTAACATTATTTTTTCAAAAAATTTCCCGAGGATAGATAATAAACTTATGGGTCTGTAATTAGTAGGGAGGGATTTATCCCCTTTTTTGAAAATAGGGATAATATTGCCTGTTTTCCAAGCTGAAGGAAAAACACACTGACTCAGAGAAATATTATACAGTAAACGAAGAGGTTCAGCTATTGACGTACAAATTCGTTTTAACATTCTCATATTAATACCATCAGGCCCACTAGCTTTGTTTGCTGGTAAAGTCTTAATCATATCCGATACTTCCTTTTCAGTAACACTAACGCTTGTAATGCTGTTAGGACAGCGATGGCTAAAAGGTGGCAAAGTCTTGCCCTCATCATTGATATTGGAAACAGATACAAAATATTTATTCAACGTTTGGGCTTTGTCGATGTCTGTAAATGCTGAAGGTATTCCGGAATCATCAGTTACGAGAGGGGGAATGGGTCCTGATGAAGTAGAACCTTTCAACAAATAATTAAAAACCTTCCAATAATCTGCTGATTGAGTAGAGAGAAGATAAAAAACTACCTAAATGCTTTCGCCACCAAACTTTCGACGTTGAACAACGCACGCGTCAGAAACGTCCACCTTGCCGTCTGTACACCCTTGCCCTGCCATCTGAGCTGTCCAGATGAAATCTCCTCTCGTCAGTGAACAAAACACCATCCCAATCTTGTCTCCTGTTCCCTAGATGCTGTCTGCACCAGGCATGACGTGCTTGTCGGTGACGTTTGAGCAAAATCGGACGTACTGCAGGCCGTCAGGGCGGAATGTTCCCTCAGTCGGTTCCGTACAGTCCTGGAACTGATTGGACGTAAGCCAGGAATGGTCCGACCAGTCAAAGTGGCAGTCTGGAATCGATTCCTTAGATGGGTCAGCCGAATGTGGTTGTCTTGCTGACTTGACGTCACGCGTGGACGGCCGGTCCGTGGCAAATATCTCGTGTTCCCATTTGTCGAAAACGTCTCCATAATGATGAGATATTGTTTCGATGAACACCAAAATGTCTGGCCACTTCATTTTGGGCCATTCCAATCTCCAGCATACAGGTTGAAATTAACGTGTTTTCCACAACATTCAGAGGCAAGAGAATAATCAACCGTTCTTCAATTTTCAATATCAGGTGTCAAAAAGCATGCAAAAAGTGAACAGTTCATTATGCACAGAGTGCACGTATACGTGACATCAAGTGCTTTGCTACATGTTATTTAGGGTTATTTTTATAACTTTTCAAATAACTTATTTTATGCTATTTCCTCTATGCACAGTTACTATTTCCCGTTAGTATATATTCAGAGACTAAGCGTGTGTCATGCGGTGAAAATGAGGACCGGTCGGCATGGTGTCAGTAAACTGGGTCTGAGTGGGGTATGTGTGTGTCAAAAAGCGGCGTGATGTCTTAGTGGGCTAGCGCCATAAAGCTGGCAGCTACACACATTTACAACCAAGTCGCTTTAAAAGTGCATTAATCTAACGGGGCAATGACACCATTTCATCTGACCCAGAAATGAACGCCGGTATTGTACAATGGGCCAAACTGTTCTTAATGCATGTGACCCTAGTTGACTTTACAGTGCCACGACATTACGTATTGAGGCTAGTTTAATACCTTGTCACAACAATCTTATTGAGGTCACCAGTCTTGCGTTCGTGGGTATGTGACTGACCATACGGTGCGACCATATTTGGTCAACCGGTGTTTCACGTGGGAGAACACGTGTGGCTCTGTTACTATTGCACAACGTAAGGACGTGTTGATAAGAAAGGTTAAAACTATAGTACACTATAAGGATCATCCGATTCTCACATATATTATTAAGAAGGGGGTATTCTGTTTTGGGGTGACATTATTTGGGAACAAAGATGTATGATTAGATATGGATATTAAAAAAGTATTATTCCACTAACAACGTATGTATTTCGTGCAAGCGTTTTTCATGATGTGTGATGTGGGTGATGATTCTACGCCGATTTTAACAACGTTCCAGCAATATCACAACTGGCAACCCAGGAATGGGGTTCGCAAATAATAACCATGTGGAGAATCAACCCAGTGCTTCTGACTGACTAGCGAACACTTTACCAACTATGCGCTGCTCCACTGCACCGAGTGTGGTCAGATAAACCAGTGATTGACACTGAGAGCAACGTCGACACTGTTGGAGGATGATGACGTGCCCACGATCAACCAAGTGGCAAGGCCACATGTTCGGTCCATTGTGAAGTCTCCTCGTACGACAAACTGGGATAATACAGTCATTACAAGCACACAATTATTTAATTTTAAAAAAGGAATAAGTTTTTTCAATTATTTCCTTAAAGACATGCATTCACATCAGCTAACTACTTCCTTAAAATATTGCCCAAGTGAAAATTCGTGTTAGAATGATATTCACCAACCCATGATTGCTTGTCAAGGTTACAAGCCCAAGTCACTAGATTATCCTGTCCAGATTCTATTATTTACTAACAGTTGTAATGTTAAAGCTCATCAAACCTGCCAACTCTCATGCCTGTGGCTTGAGACTCAGGCTTGTATTGTTCATGTCACGCTCTCACGACCAAACTGGGTTGATATGAAACATAAAAATAAAAAGCGTGTGTGTGTGTGCGCGTGCGTGCTTTCAGGCCCCGACCGAGGATAGCGACCCTTAGAAATCGGTATCTCAAGCTTCTTTGAGTAGCTCTATGGCTTCGATCTTTTCTCTTTTGGGGTTGGAAACTGGAATAGTGCTGAGTGTGGCGATAAACAACGAATAAACATATCTATCTAAGTATATATTTTGATTCGCTGAAAAAGTCCTAAACAGTTCAGAAACTATAACTAGGGTTGATAAATATTCTCCAATTAAACGAGGTGGCAAGTGGACACGAGCAGCCATGACCGATCACGTGGTATACCGGTATTGACTGATCATAGCTCTGTGGGTATACATTAGTGTATGCTGGACTGTATACAAATGTTGTGAAATTAACTTTCATTACACCATCATGTACGCTAACTGATCAGGTCTTCCTATCGATAAGCACGATAAGAAGAAGAAAATGTCGTCCATGCTTTCATAACCAGCCCGTTGAATTGTTGATACACGTGACTCCAACGTGCTTGGCGGTGTCACCAACGAGTTGTTCCCTGTGACATACAATCCGTATTGCACCACATGCCAGTTATGCCGACATATTCGTGTCTAAACTGTTGCCGATATGAATTAAATTGTAAATTTGACTAAATTATTCTAAAGAAATCATTGTGCGTTCCAGAGGCGCCCGTGTATCACAGGTTCTTTTCAAAACCCGTCAATACAAATTTTACAGCACAAAATGATATACAGGATGCATCATCATATACACTGTACCTAAGGTGGCGGCAGATAAGATCGCTTGGCGATTACTTCCCTCGAATTAGCAGTCTTCCACGTGTAAACAATCAAAAGTATTTAACACACTGCTAAACCTTGATTATTAAAATCGAGCGAGGATGTCGGTAACTCAACCGACATCCAGACTTTGAGTTATCGACTTCCTCGCTCGATTTTAAAATACTTTTTCTTCAACACATAGAAATTAATAAGCAAATTCAGTGAATTGAATGTATTTGCACCATCAAGGTTTAGCAGTGTGTTAAATAATTTTGATTGTATACACGTGGAAGACTGCTAATTCGAGGGAAATAATCGCCAAGCGATGTTACCTGCCCCCATGTTGGGATGCACGCTACCAGCATCAACTTAGGTACAGTGATATATATACATCACAGAATCGATCGTAATTGCACCGTGTATGCTTTGAGAAAGAAAATCAAGGTTAATATTTAATCATGTACGACAAAGCTTGCAAGGGTCTCTAGACGTAATACATGTATTAACCGTTTTTACTGTGCAATATTGATGATATTCCAGTCATTGTCCCGAAATCAGGCCACTCTGGGAATGCGAATCCACTCATCATCCAAACTGATCATTCCATGTTATGTCTCAGTTGGCTACCAACATAAACCGCCATTAGTCTAGACGTGGACCAGCAGCCTCATGACAGACTACCTCACATTAACAATCACGCCGCTTGTACAAGTGCCTTCATCTAATGGCGATGTAATCCGCACGTCCCCTCACTTCAGTCAGAGACCATATAATAAATCTATTATATGGTCTCTGCTTCAGTGCAAAGGAACGGCGTTGGTTCCTAACCAGGTCATTGTGACCTTATACACATTTGACCCCAAACTATATAACTTGATCGCGAATTACCTAGTAATCCTCTACAGATTAATGCTCCTTGAATAAGCATGATTAATACTTTATAGCAACAAATTATTGAGACCCAGATTTACTCTCATTGTATCCACCACCCATCGTCTGATGTCGTCAACCTGAGGTGGACATTTTTGGGAAGTACGGTACAAAATATTTCTTCCAATTTTACTACAATTTTCATTAAATGTTGTGGGTGTTTTCTAAGAAACCTATTACTCTTGATCAGGTGGTCTCTGTTTTCCCCCGGCCCGTGTGGGGAATTATATTTCCACAGGGAAATAATATTCATTTACACCGGCCAGCCCAACCAAAACAAGTGTCATGTCGATCGGACGAGATGGTGCAAGACCACGTAACTCTTTATCGGCGTGGTTTTGACTTGTTTTGCTGTGTCGGTAGTCAATATCTTGTGAGAAATGGATACTGGATCTTTGCTTCCAGAAATATGGGAAACATACGCCCAACTTGCTCGTCGGCGGTCGGAGAAACATGCAACACAGGTAATGAAAGCAACTAGAATCTACTATTATATGCCAACACTAAGTCAAGCAGGCCAATGACAAACTGTCTGCTCCTATCTTGCTGATTCTAACGGTATAATTTACAACTCCACCATTGCAAGGTCAGCACATTTGAACAAGTATGTTTTATAGGTCAAAATCGGTGAATATTAGTTTGTATTTAACTTTTTTGTGAGTCCCCACCACGTTTTGTAAATTTAAACCAGTCGTGGGAGGTCTTAATTCTGTTAAAAGTTCAACGACCCATGGGGTGCTATTTTACGCCACAGTATGCAGTTTCTGTGAAAAATGAAAGAAGTATCGAATGTGAATTATAGAATTATATGTAAATTCTACACAGCCCATGTCAACTATAGGAAACAGTTAATTAGATAATACTGATATTACAGTAATCACCCATATACTCAGTATTGGTGGTCCGATTAATTGAAATAATCGAAGATTGGTCGCAGTGACTATACGACCAAGCAATCGATCATGTGTTCTCATAATCGAACACAAACAATCCTGGAACACTTGTTTTCATAAACAATATATTTCACAAGGTTGGTTTTGTCTGTTACATTTCATAAGCACTACAAGCTCGTTCCAAGTCATGATTGAATATATCTTAAAGACTCTAAGAAATTTATGTTCCTTACATACTTGTCATCCTTTAAAGATGTGAAATTTTGCACCAAAGAACTACATGGGTTTTTTCATTATTTGAGCAGTAACAAAAATAACCAGGAACATTTCATATATGACGATAACCAATTATTTTCGATGATTGATCGGTTGTAATGAACCAATCATCAATTATGAGATTTTAACCAATTCCCAACACTAATACCCAGAGAGTCGAGAAAATTTGTGAAATTGTTCAGGAAGTCTACATTCAAATTTTGTGCAAACTAGACATAACTTCAGACGTGTTGTAAGTATTTGGGTTTTTTATAACAGTAGGCAGGCTCTGTCTTTTCATGAATCCTTTTGGACTTTCATGAAGAATTTTTGAAAACGGGAGTTCCAGGGTGAACAGTTAACCAGCAACAGGAAATATGTTCGGTGTTGTTAATATATAAACATATGATTGATTGGGACTTCCTCACTTAAATCGAAACTTGGTGATGGACTGAAGAAAATACTATCTCATCTGCTAATGTATCCATCAGGCCGGAAACCATTTAAATATTTTGTGTTTCCTACAGTTGAGTTAGTTTCAAGTCTCTTTTTCATTCCCTATTCTTAAAACCTGTATTACCAGTTACAAATGATCCCAGCAATATATGCTGGGTGAAAGCTCTACCCTATGGATTGGGGTGTGAGGCTATAGAGACTTGCTTCATTGTATTTCCTTGTACCCCATGGTTCCTGGCTTGTAAGACCAGTAAATACTGGTTTGTCTTATTGTAGACCCGATTGTACTTTATCCACTGTTATATGGCTGGAATATTGCTTAATTCAGCATTTAACAATTTAATAACCAAACTCTGCATGTAATATGCGCCCATTATCATTTTATGTGTTTAAGATGCTATTGTAATATTGGTAGATTTATAGTTGTATATTTGAGTGGTGTAATATTTGCAATGCATATTTTATCATTGGTGATTTGTAAGGGCAGGTTATGAGTGGAAGTGGTGAAAACCTCACATGATTCGTCAAGAGAAACTGTATTTTTGCGATAATGTACAATATGCTCTTACTCCTGACAGTGTTATATTAGAGCTATTTGATGTATTTTGAATAATTAAAGCATACAAACCATCGTTTCTACAGCATGTATAAGTGGATAAGCTTTAATATACCAATCATGAATCAAGTACAGCAATATTTTGTGTTAAAACCTTGAGAATGTATATCATTCATAAAACAAAAACATTCCACAAACTTCATTAAAAAGGATTCTTGACCATTTTGTTTGAACCTAATTAGACTAACGCTTAGTCTCTGAATATATATAATTTTGATAGGAACAAATGAAAAGGAGACCCAGTGAGATGGGAGATTCGGAACCTGAGCAAATTTAGACTTGCTGCATTTAGGTCTTTAGCATTGCAAAAGGCCTAGGCAGAAGGGAATATTATGCAGTTCGGGGACTAGATTAGAACCCCATGAATTGTGCCAGATCAATGGGAATAAAGTCACTGTTATGATTTCATTTGTACTAGTGGAAGAGTTTTTTCAACTAGATGTTTGCAGCCCACAGCACAGCTTCAGAACTGTTGACCTAAGGTCCCAGCACCTAACAATAGTACATTCGCAATACTAGCTGGATAAGAAGTGGGTTAGCAGTTGTATTCCTACTAGGGTGGGATAAGTAGCAGACTGTATAATGCATGTTATTGTACACATGGTAGATATAGACTGAGAGATGACTGTATCCGTATCTATTTTCAGGAGCATTTCCTGACTGGGGATCTGCGGTAATAGTGTGGTCAGCAGCTGACATTAAATGAAATTACTAATACTGTTTAAGGATAAAGAGATGTGTGGGTTTTTTTATGTGTGAGCATACAGTGATCCATGTTTACCTGCTCAGTTGCAGATAGTTAGCCCAAAGTCAGGAGCAAATTTCATAAAAATTCCCAAATTCAAATTATACATTTCCTACATCATGTAAACATTGTACGTCTTTGCCGAGATATTCTGTATTTGTGGAGATATTCTGTTTGGTATTGATCATGGATTAGTAAAGATGAAGAGTTAATGCTTACATTTATGTTATTGCTTTGAATTAAAGTTTATCATGCCATGTTGAAATACCTCTGAATTTAAGAAAAGTAGAACATTTTCAAAATCACGATTTTATTTATAAGAAGAATTTCTGCCCAAAGTTCCTGTCAGGGTTTTTTGAATCCTATATGAATCCCTGACATGTTACTATGTAAAATTGAAAGCTTCTTAAACTACAGTTGAATAGCAACAACATTATTTTTTGAATCAATGTTTCAGGGTCTCATCATCAGATTACCAATAATGAGTTAATATATACATGCTGGTATGTTTACATATGGTCAGATTAATGTACAAAAGTAACAATATTTTGATCATCCTAACAAAGACCACGATCAGAATGAAGGAAGTGTATATATCTATGTTTCATTTAGACAACATCATGGCTGCTGGTAATAAACATTTCTTAGGACTTATGGGATGCAGATGGTTGATTAACTTAAAAACTGATGAATCAAAATTGAAATATTATCATACAGATAGGTCTTGAAATGTGTGATTTTGTAGTTTCCACACTCCAGAGTTGAGCTTTCGTAACATTATATAGGAGGAAGTCTGAAGGTTGACTCAGGATATCTTTTCAGATGGTGATTTTTCTCACAGATGTCACTAATTATTTCAGGATATTGAATGAGTATAGAGGCGGGTGGGGTAGCCTAGTGGTTAAAGCGTTGGCTCGTCACGCCGAAGACCCGGGTTCGAATCCCCACATGGGTACAATGAGTTAAGCCCATTTCTGGTGTCCCCCGCTGTGATATTGCTGGAATATTGCTAAAAGCGACGTAAAACCAAACTCAGTCAGATGACTGAGTATAGACTGCCATGCTGACCGACTGTACATAGGATTGATGATCTTAATCACTAGGTATGACCATGCGTACAGGATCTCATTAAGGTGTGTAACTGTCTCAGGAACTTAGTCATGAAAGTTTATGAATACCTCGTAGGTTGGATGTCTTTAGGATTTTTCATACTTTCTTTCTCTTTCTAATATTCATATTATTTTAGTTGGTCAGATTATAAGTAAAACTGAAACCTAATTTCTATAAAATATTCAGTGTTGGCATAAGTTCATATGGGGATATGTATTTTGTAGATTGCATTATGTTTTCAAGTCAACATAGTAGTTATAACCTAAACGTAAATGAAACTTTATTTCATTTGTCATGTTTTTCCTGACGTTGAACTTGACTGTGATATTCAGTGTCACTGTGTGATGTGAGGATGCAAATATCACTGTCAAGTTCAACGAGGACAAATTTCACACATAACAATGTACTGTAAATATTTTGTGGGTCAGTGACACAACAATACTGTTTACCACACAACTTATTTCTAAAGGTATCAACAAGCTGGAACACGAATGTGTTTGTGTGTATATACTATCTAGTGAGAACATAACATTGTTGTGGCTTTAAGATAAGAAAAATACTTTAAAAATTAAATCAGTTTTATAGAAGTGGCACAGATCAGCTGTGTACTGGGGCAAGTAGTTGTACTGACAGGCTAGCAGATAGGGTATTAAGTCGAACTGTGGGTTCAGCTCCTTTACAGGTTAAGATATATACAACAGAACTCATCCAAGTAGAAAAAGATAACAACATATATTTGTTATTACATATATTTATACATCATCCTTGTGCTCAATGTTGTGTATCATTTGCTTGGTATAATAATGGTGGTAGCATCTACACCAAAATGTTGCATCTGTTTCAATAAAGAAATTGTCTATCCATAAAAAGTGTCCTCTTCAACTCATCCAGCGACTTGTATTTACCATATGAAAAAATGTTCTTTTTTGCATGAAACTAAAAGCATCACTTTAAAATACTGAAATCCACCAAATCTGTAAGGCTCTAAGTAAACATTTCCATTAATAGGGCATTTATATAACATCAACACAAGATAGCATATGATTAACATAATTTATTGACTTGAAAAGTGGTGTCTCTGCATGTCAGTGAGACTTATTTGTAAAAGATGCGAAGATGGCGTGTAGAGGTGTACTTTAAAAATAAATGAACGCTCTAATATCTGCGTTATTCAAACAGTTACAGTAGTCCTGTGTTATAAGCCAGAGGAGCATGAACTGACTTGAAATTATATTTGCCTAAAAAATCTTCCTCTTATTGTAAGCAAATCAAGGGCAGATTAGTATGTTTCTAATACAACCTATTGTTTCTTTTGCCTCATGGCAGAAATCTTGATGTATTATTATTTGACACTTCTTAAGTTAACGTCAGTTGAGATTTTATATCGGA